GTCGATGCAGAAATGTGGAGTCTGGCCGTGTGATTAAGCCTCTGCATGTGTGATTAAACCCGCACGTGTGTTTCCAATCTCTGGGCCCTGTGTTACACAAGGCAAATAGTGCTGCCACTTCAGCCGTTAAACAAGCTTGCGCAGCCGAGGTCTGAGCTCTTGTTTAGAATGGGTCCTTCGCTGTCTTGCGGTCAGATTGCATACTTAATCAACATGGTCATGGAAATTTCCAAAAAGACGTATGACTGCCTTGTGCATGGCGAACCTCCCGTTTTACTCTCTCATCTTGTTCTCTCCAGTGTTTCAAATCATTTCTTTCCACCTCATATTATCTGCTTGGTGCATTTTATTTCCATTCACACGGCAACTTATTTGTTTGATTATCTTATCTGGAATTCACATCAGGGACTGTCTCACAGTTCTGAGTTTTGAGGTTTGACTCGTCCAAAGTCAGCTAAGATAGGCTCTTGTTCCCTGTGACCCTGAACAGGATACAGAATATAGGAAAAGGATAAATGCTTGGTGTGTCTGACTGACAATTCTGAGTTTCATGGTTTGATTCTTAGCTCTGGGCTACCTGTGTGACATTTGCATGTCCTCCCCTTGCCTGCGCAGGTTTTCTCTGGCTACCCTGACTTCATTTACATACACTACATACATTTCAAAAACATGTTAACTAAAGATTCGAAATTGCCCTCAGTGCGAATGTGAGTACAAATAGTTGATGCGACATGTGTTGTGCAATTAGCAGGCGACCGCCAGCCCAGGGTGTACTCTGCCTTTCGCCAAAGACTGCTTGGTTGGCCCCAGCTTACCCTTGACCTTATTGAGGACAAGCGCCATAGAAAATGGATGGATGATGGTTAAGGCAAAACGGAGTTCACTACAACTGTTGATTTAGTTTATGGTCCAGAGAAAAAGAACAACATGACATCATCTATGGGCTGCAACCACTCAGACCTCATATGCCAACATTATTTTGCACAAAACAGCACAGGAATCATCAATACAGGAGTTCAGAACATAAAAATAATACTGCTTTTCCTCATTGGGGTCATTCAATCTGGATCCTATCCAACTCACATTGGGTGAACTGGTCACATGCCACAGGGCCATTTGATTACTTGATTGTGAATTTTACTCACAGTCAATCATTTAGTCATTTACATGTAGTCAAAAGTAATTCCAACAAAGGCCAATGAACGCTGATTTACTCCACCTAACCATCTGGCATGTTAGCCATGACAGAAATGATCAAACTACAGACGCCCAATAGTTGGTCCCCTCTCTGTCTCCCTTTCTGGCTTGTTTACATTCCAGTGCCATGTTCAACAGCAGAGGGTCCTCCCCTCCTTCTTGTGTGGGCTCAGCGTTTGTGCTCGTACGTGTGTGTGCATGTGGATGTATACACACTATGTGCCCCAGCATTTGGATGACATCAACACTGGAGCAGAATGTTTGCCGATGTGGTCCAAGCTGTGACAAGAGAGAGGTCTTGTTATTGTTTCTGAACTAGCAGATGCTCCGATAATTACTGTACATGAAATGTCCCCCCCCCCTTCCAATTGTTTAGTCTCCATTTCTTTCTCAACTTTGTTTGTCTCCCCTCACCTTTCTCATGTACACTGATTTTCTACTCCTCTTTTCTTTTTGACTCCCCTGATTGCTCACGTATGTTGCCTGGCTTGTCGGCAAGATTGGGAGGAGAGGGGGGAGTAGGAGGGAGAGAGACAGACAGAGAGAAGAGGTGGGAGGGACTGTGGCCTCTCATGCGGGGAGTCACATGGTGTCCCTGATTGGAGGAAAATGAGTAAAGACTGCAGCCTGGCTGAAACGGCAAGAGACAAAAAGGCACAAAGGCTTAGCTGTTTGGAAACGGGTTGCACAACAAGAGAGCCTGAAGAGGAGGGAGGGGGGATTATGAAAAGAAAAAGAAAGCGAGAGTAGAGAGATGTGATTTGCCAAAGGAAGAGTTAGAGCGAGGGCTGAGATAAGAGAAAACAGGAGAGGGTGACAGAGGAGGGAGAAGTAAGAGGGATGAGGAGCAAATGGGAGATGAAGGCTGCAGGAGTGCATGAGGAGTGGGCAGGGAGGGGGTTGAGACTGGGAGAAATCAGACTGTTTCTATGTTTTCTGCAAGGCTGAGCGCTGACGTGATTGGCTGGAGGGGGTGGATGGTGGTAGGGGGGCAGACCTGACTCGGAGATCAGAGGGAGACAAAATGGCTCCCAGAGAACAGAAGAACGCAGCATCAGGCCACTGTCACATCCCCTCACACAGCTGTCAGCTGACTCGAGACACGCACTTACGCATGTGCGCTCGCGCGCGCGCACGCGCGCGCGCACACACACACACACACACACACACACACACACACACACACATACACACACCCCAGGCCCCCCAACATACACCCACCCACCCACAGGCTAAGCCACCTGCTAGTGTGAGGGAAGAATACTGACAATGATGCAGACGATGACGATCGTTGATTTAGTATACCACATCGGCTTCTTTTTACTTTTGCTGCACTTAAAATCCACTCACCCATTCCAACATTACGACTTCTTGCAAATACTGTACAGTATAATGATATCCGATACAAGAGCTTTATCAAATATTCAGCTTTTACAAAAACAGTCCATCAGTGTCCACTTTTGATTGACACCACACTGCATCTTATTGAGTGACAAGATTTCTGATATTTTTAAAACATTACGCTATCATTATAATGGAGTACGGATCTACACCTCTGCAAACCACAACCACAATGATGAACATGTTGAATTCGCACTTTGGGAATCAAAATTGAGCACTGTTGTCTTTGCAAAAGCAAAAACGTTGTTACAGATCTTGTTGGCTATCATTTCTGTATATTGAGGAGGTGGACATTAAATTGTGGCAAGTCGGTTTGATTCGACGATCACAGCCAGAGTTCACTGCTGGCGTGTAATGACACGTGTCACACATGCCATTTATTTTGTCGTGGTGATACTGTATGTCGGTGCTCACCTGAAATCCTGCGGGTGGGTTCGAGATGGGGGCAGAGCTACTGCTCAAGTCAGGATGAAATACACAATGCGGCCACACGAGGGCGCTGCTACCAAGGGTCCGACTAACAGACTTGCCTTCTGCCTCTGTCAGCATTACCGCCACTTCTTACTCATCAATCCATTTTCTATACTGCTTATCCCGTTTATGGTCATGGATAGCTGGAGTCTATCCCAGAAGGGCAGATTTACTGCAGAGAGACCATTTCTATACTGACAAACTCATTGACTGTGCTTATATCTTTTTTTTAGACTCACTTTTATCATGTGGCATTCTTCCAATGGTTTTTATTCTTTCTTTTTTTTGCGGTTCTATCGTATTATTTGCTTTTCTATTGTGTTATTTATTTTTCCATTTATTAATTATTTGTTTATGTGTTTGTTTACTTTCACGTGTATTTTACTTTGCTGAAAATGTCAATGGATTTATTTTGGTCATTGCCTGTTTTGAATGTGGAACACCTTTGACCTTTGATCCTAGATGTGCTATATAAAGGGAATGATGATGATGACCATTATTATTAGTCGTACTAGTGTGACTATTATTTAGAATTTTTACTATTATTTCTATTTTTATTCACACTCACATGCATACCAAAGTTATGTGAATGAACCAATATGCCGTTTGAAACTCTGCAAGGATGTTCTTACCACAAATGTAGAGTGATTTTCCCCCCCCCCAGCCGCTGCAGCATCATAATCACTTGTAATGGGGCTGCTCATTGGTAAAACTATTCCGCTCTGTATTTAAGTAAGATTGTCAAATCGGAAATGTAAAAGTCTGAATGCTTGACTGAGTACAAGTTGCATACATTTTTAATCAATGGATATGTTGCAAAATATATTCAATAATACATTTTGTTGTAGGAGTTGATTCATATTTAATCTATAAACTAGAGCATTATCCAATTATTTACTACACTGAAATTTTTTTTTGTGAACTTACAATTTCAAGGCAACAAACTTCAATACAATTGGAATGTGGGAAGTTCAAAAAAATATTTATAATGCTTTCCCGCATTTTAAAAAAGAAATAAGGTTTTCACTCACTGTGCCATTTATTGTGCCCCAACTTCAAGAAGTAAAAACAATTTAGCAAATTATTTTGGAGGAAACGACTTGATTGTTTTTTTGTGCTAACTAATATGATTGCCATAAATGTCATTAATTTATATTTAAATTTTTTTCAAAACTTGAGTCCCCCAAAATACAAGTTGTGTTTTTTACAGCTTCTCTTCATTAGGGTCAGAGGTGAATTTGAGCCTTCCCCAGTTTGGGCGAGAGACAGGGTACGCCCTGAACTGGTTGTGAGTCAATTATCGAAGGACACAAATTGACAACCAGCCATTCACACTCACATTCACCTTACTTAATCTAACATGCATGTATTTACAATTCTGGAGGTATCTGGATTACTTAGAGCTAACCCACGTAAATACATGGAGGACATGCAAAGTTTTGCGGGTGCTGAGATTCAAAACCTCCAAACTGTGATGCAGATGTTCTCAAGATTAGTCCACCGTGCTGCTGAATAATAAATCATCCATTCATTCATTTACTATCCTGTTCAGGGTTGCAGAGAGCTGGAGTCCATCCCACCTGACTTCGGGCAAAAGGTGGACTAGTCAGCAGTCAATCACAGGGCGCATACCATTGAGACAATCAATAAAATTTTGTACCCCACTAGACAAATCAAGGTGTTTCATCATTGTGTTGCACAAATTATAGGAAGCAAAATTTCTATTTAATGTGGTAAACAGGAACTTAATAATAGTCGTTTTGCATTAGTCAGCTGACTTCAGACGAGCGCGGAAGGGTGAGTTGTTAAGAGAGGGCAAACGGGATGGTTGTTATCAGAACTGAGGCAGACATTCAGTTTCCTGTTGACTAGTGAGTGGAAGTGCCCCCTCCTTACCCTGCAATGCCTCCGAGCTGACAGTCTGGACACTGGAGATATCACACAGAGGGAGAGGCATGAACACACGACACAAGAGTGTAGGATTTTGAGCAGTGTATCGCGGTCAACGTGACTTTATGGGTGACAAAATGGCCATGTCACAGCTAGAAACTGAGGGAGGTAAGATGACCTTTTCCTTGTGGCCTCTCGCACAGCTGATTCAGCAGCACATGACTCAGGCACATTCAAGCCAGACTTTTTTTGCTGTGGCTTCTCTCAGCTCTGGTTCATTCTCATCTGGGTTTTTTTTTTTTATCCCGCTGCTCGTGCTTTGATTAAATTGGATTAAAGAGAGAGGTCAACTTCGCTCAGCGCACATCGGGGAGTTTATTCATAGTGTGCCCCCTTTAATTACTTATCAAATGTAAAATTAATATTTGTTCACCAACTATTTCAGGTAGGCTCATTACTAGAAAAATGGCAACCCTCTCTTATAGTCTGATGTGTTTAATTTTTTTAAATTTTTTTTTTTATGCCATTGATTGTGATTCACCTCAAATGTGTGCTTGGCCCCTTGTTGCTGGAAATGAATTCATAGGTGTCAATCACGCCTGCCCCTTGGGCAAAAGAAAACAGTTACAGTAGTGGATGCCAGCCATGGCCACTAAGCTGTGTGAATGGGAAATTAGGGGCTGAAGAACCATAAAACAGACAGACGCACGCAAGGGAATTGAGCTATGAACACCACAATAAGGATCATGAGAAATGTTTGTGTTTACACAAACATTTCCCAACGGAATCATTGCTCTGTGTTACATATAACATAATCGGTTATCTTAAGCTGTGATGTGAAAAAGCAACCAAACACAAGAAGATTTCCTGATGCTTTCATTGGATTTAGTTGTTATTCTTTATGCTTTCTACTGTCATTTGAACACAGATGATGTCTTTGGCCATATAGTGTTCGGTTGCTCATCATTAAATGACGTGCAAGATTTTAACTAAACCAAGCCCATAGTGAACAAAATACACATTGATAGTAATATCAATTGTTTTCTCCCTGGCTGGAATACAACATAATCGTCTATGATCATATATTTTGAGGTTAACTTGAATCATATTGTGTTTTAATTAGAATAGTCGCGTGGCTGTTAATGGAAGAAGCTAATCAATCTTTTGCATGAGTGGATTGCTTCGCATTATGGAGCATTTGCTGATCATACCCATGCTCATTTACTGCCCATTCTTGTCAGTAGCACAAACTGCTACTGTCTAAAATGTAGTCTGACAAGCAAACAAAAATACATTTTTTTTTTAAATCTATTTTTTCCATTCGGTGATATATTCTGCTTACATAGTACTTGGATTTGTGGCTTTAGCTATGAGGCTAGCCAGTGCAGGGAAGGTTCAGCGGCTTAACATTTGTGTGCGTCGTGTGTATGTGCGTGTTTGTGTGTCACTGGTTAGGGTGGTGCTTGAAGATAAGGCCTGCCCTGTGCCTCACAGCGAAAGAGACGGTGTGTGTAAGCCCTTAAAGCCTTATCCTGATACACCTCCTACCCCCACTGCATCTCCATCACCCAACACTTGCTCTGTGGATTAACCCAGTCCCAGTCATGTAGCATTTCAATGGCAAAGCTTACAAAACACACACACACACACACACACACACACACACACGCACATAGGATTAACCCCTGTGTGCCCATAGATGATTCTTAGCCACTCTCCAGTTGTGAAAACTTGCTTGCGTTACCATGGCTACCATGATCATAGTGTAAGACAGACAAGTCCACATAGGTTACACATTCGCACGCGATGCCGTAAGGGACTCTTCACCCTTGTAGTAAACTAAACGGATGCTGCCAAAAATATTGAGAGAAACCTCCAAGGCTGTGAAAGTAATTGTGTCATACATTTACTATGTTTGATGAAATACAGTATACAGTATCCACATAAAATCAAGCTCAGCCTCGTTTGGTCTCTGGTCAGGTGAGTGGCGTGCCTTGAAGTTTATCTCCTTAAAGTCTGACACATTGTCCTTTACAGAGGTGCATATTTGAACCGCTCATCATCATTCAACACATCTGTAATAGCCAACTGAGAATGGATGTAACAAATTATTTTGTTGACGAATGCCATTGCATTTATAGCTTTGCATAGCGACTTCACAATGTCATGGATTTTCAGTCAAACTATTGACATGGCACTTCGATACGAAGATGGTTTATTTACTTGTTCACTCAACTCAACTTTATTTATAAAGCACTTTAAAACAACTACATTATAGGGTGATCATGTTGTAGTAAGAAACCAAATAGCAGTTTTCTGCAGTTGTGTGGAAAACTCTATTTATCTCAGTAGTTAAATTGAAAAAGTAATATTACATTTAATTTCAGTGCAGGTCAGGCACACAGGATGTGTCCAAATCTACAGGTTGCGTCATTCAAAACATTTTCGACTGCATGTTGTTTCCAAATTCTAGAAAGCCAATTTGCAGGCTGGATCCTTTGACACCTCCAAAGGCTCCTCCTCATGTAGCACCAGTGGACCCCACAAACCATGGCAAATTTGGACAGGTTTAATGTGAATTTGGACACCACGTGCAGTCGAGTCGTGCCGGAAGTGATGCCATGCGGGCTGTGAATTTAGACACAGCCACAGACTACATGGCAGACACGTAATTCAATTCAGTGAATTGATTTCTAGAGTTATTCAGAGGATTTGATGCACGCTGTTGACATATGTATGAATGAAATACAATGATATCCACCACACGTTTCAGTGGAGTGCAGAATCTGTCTGCCTGCGCCTTGATCAAATACACCAAAATTGCATTACACTTGGTTTCACCTGGTTTCACCTTGTCTTCAATCTAGTCGACTTTCTGTAACCAAATTGTCAGGTGCGTCGGAGGTGTGCAATAAAAAACATCCGCTGAAATGCCTCGCGAGGAGCAGCACGGTCTGTCAAATTCCCCAAAACAGTAAAACATGATTGCACCCACACGCAAATGAAAAGTTTTTACGAGGAACGCACGTGCACCTGTTTTCGTTAAATGGGGATCAAGGTGTCAAATGTTCAAACTAAAAAACGTGATTGTTTTTGTTTGGGTTTTTTTTTGTTTGTTTTGGGGTGGTTTTTTTTTGCACATATTTTCTCATTTTGAATTGGATGCCCACAACACATTCCAAAAAAGCTGGGACAAAGACATGTTTTCCACTGCATCACCTTTGCTTTTAACAACACTCAAGCGGTTGGGAACGAAGGCCACTGTTCCTTGTGTGTTCTACATACTTGGCCAATAAAGATGATTCTGATTTTCATTGTTCAAGCGTTGTAGGTGGAATTCATTCCGTTCTTGATGCATAACTGCAGTTGCTCAACAGTCCGGGGTCTCCGTTGTCATATTTTGCGCTTGATAATGTGTCACATTTTCAACTGGAGACAAAACTGCTGGCAGGTCAGCATATTATTGGCACTCTTTGACTAAGAAGCTAAACCGTCCTTGAAAATAATGTTATCTTCATGTACCTTTCAGAATGAATGTGGCTTTCACAGATGTGCAAGTTACGCTTGCTTTGGACACTAACATCACAGATGCTGGCTTTTGAACATTCAATCCATCCGGATGGTCCTTTTGCTCTTTGAATTTCCTTGTGTCATAAACAATTTGAACTGTGGAATTCACAAGTCACAGCATACTTTCCTTTCTGTGTCACTCCATCTCAGATGAGGTCGAGCCCAGAAAAGCTGACGGCGTTTCTGGGTGCTGTTGATAAATGGCTTTTGCTTTGCATCGTAGAGTTTGGATTTGCACTGAACGGATGTGGTGCTGAGCTGTGTTTACTGACATTGGTTTTGTGAAGTGATCATGAGCCCCTGCGGTGATATCCTTGACACATTGATGTCGGTTTTTGATGCAGTACTGCCTGAAGGATCGAAGGTCACCAGCATGCAGTGTTGGTTTTCGGCCTTGCCGCTTACATGCAATAGATTTCTCCATATTCTCTGAGTCTTTTGATTTATATTTTGGACTGTGGATGATGAAATCTCTAAATTCCTTGCAATTGGATGTTGAGAAACATTGTTATTAAACTGTTGGACCATTTGTTCACACGGTTGTTCACAAAGCGGTGAACCTCGCTCCACCCGAGCTTGTGAACAACTGAGCCGTTTGTGGATGCTCCTTTTATACACAATCATGACACTCATCTGTTTCCAAATAACCTGTCACTTGTGACATATTTCAAACAGGTGTTTTTTGGAGCACTCCTGAAATTTGCCAGTCTTTTGTGTCCCTTGTCCACATTTTTGGGAAACACTGGGAGGTTGATGCGCTCACCACTGGATCATCGGGCCGCCTCGATGAAATTATATCTATGTTTTTATTGACATTTCACACAATGTCCCAACTTCTTTGGAATTGGGGTGTGTAGTTAAAGAAATTGAGAGTAGCTGCTTTGATTGGCCGAGAATCAAGTCGGCTGTGTTCACTCCCACAAAGCTCAAACATCCATTTCTAACTGTGTCCGTCTATGAAAATGCCCAAAGAAAGAAAACTCCACCCATGTGCACTGTTAGCCCCCATTTTGCGCTAGACACAAAATCAATTGCTATAGTTTGATTTGCAAATATGTTCTGTTTTAATGTACGTTTCACACGATGCCTCTACTTCATTGGAATTGAGGTTTGTACATGTTCCCCCTCGCCAAATTCCTCCAAAAACATGCTTCTTAATTGAAGACTACATTGTCAGGTCTGAATGTGAGCGTGAATGGTTGTTTGTCTATATGCATCCCGCCTCTCGCCTGAAGTCAACCGGATAGGCTCTAGATAGAAAAAAGAGGTATGGGGAGGGGGGGGGGGTTGTTTCAGGTCAGGGTAATCCTCAGAGTTATGAAGCGTACTTTAATTAAGTCAGTAAGACAGATATATTAATATGTATGTGAACCTTTAATTACTGGAGTCACCTGACTTATTACTGCTGCCTAATTTTGTCTTCATTCCAGACTAGAATAGATGGACATGTTACCATAATATGGTTATTGTTTGCCCATGTGCTCATATGTTAATTAAAAAAAAAAAACATTTTTTAAAATTATGAAGTGCTGCATTTTCACTTGTCACGGTGTGCTCGTGGTTACTGCTTCGTACCTTCCTCTAACAGTTCTGAGGTTGGGTTTTCTAAAATGGGCTCTGGCCTTCCTGCGTTGTTGCAATGGTTTCCCCCATGACCCCAGCGAGGACTAGCAATGTAGAAAAGGGATGGCTGGCTGCATGGATGTGATTTCACTCTCTGTATGTGCAAAACTCAGCACCCTGTTTTTGCTGATCCACACATGACAGACATAGACTGAATAATACCTGTTCTTTTTTTATTTCCAACTTTATCCATATGGGTGAATCCTTTCTGGCTGTGATCTGAATATCTGATTATATTTTGAGGCGATTTAAGCAGATTTAGAGGCCATGGGATTCTCCTTTAGGCTTAATGCTCTGTGCGCGTGTGTGTGAACGCGAGTGTGCATGTGTGACTGTGGAACAGAGGGTGGGAGAAAAGCAGTACCTTTTGAATACTACAATGCTATAAGAATCACACAGCCTTGCGAATACACAATGTTATCATAGTTTTACACTTCTGTATTAGAAATGAAAATATGAACCAATGTTTTTAGTGGGGGAGAGAGAGAGAGAGAGAGAGAGAGAGAGAGAGAGAGAGAGAGAGAGAGAGAAAGAGAGAGAGACAGAGACAGAGGGACAGAGAAGACCGCTAACCCTTAAGGCCAATCCAAAAACACTTTCAACCAAAGTGAGAATCATACACCCATGCAAACGACATACGACACAACATTTTCTATTCGTCTGTACGGTGTCACAAAAATTGATACGAAATACCTGAGTTTATCAATGAGAAACTTCACTGAAAACAAATGAGACACATTCAAAGTGTAGTGCAATTTTTTTTTTAGTTCAACCAAAAATGCAGTGGACATAAGAACTGCATGCACTCTTTTTTTGTGATATAGAAAATGAGAAAAAGATAAATGAATGACAAAAATTAAAATGGAAAACCATTTTTGAAAATGAAATCGAAAAAAAACACCCCAAAGAAAATCGAAAATAAAATGCTTTTAAAAAACTAAAAGTAACTGAAACTACATCTTACGTTTCTAAAATTAACTAAAACTAATTAGAAAACCAAGTAAAACTAAGCAGAACAATTAAATGCTATTCCAGTAGGCACATAAATACCGTATCCACTTTTTGTGATACAGTATTTATATGAAATTTTAAAATGTTAAATTTAAAAAAGTTCTTTGTTTCTTTCTTTCTTTCTTTTACTGATGCAACTCAAGCTGGTGTGCACTAATTAGGTGCACATGAACATCACTTTGCAGTCAACATGATCTTCATTTCCAAACGTACTTCCACTTGGCTGCATTAGGCCAATTCTCATCTGTGTCACTTAGAAGAACGACATGGGGTGAAGGAGGAGGAGGAAGAGGGGAAAAATGCTTAGCAGACAACCTATACGAGCTTTGGAGTGGAGGGGGGCGACTGGTGGTGGCGGTCAGAGGAGAGACGAGCAAATGTACTGCGGAGAGAGAGGAGGAGGAGGAGGAGGAAGAAGAAGAAGAGGAGGAGGAGGAGGGCCTTGAGCTATTGTTCATGTCCTCCCGTGAACAAAGGGCTCATCGGGGTCCGTATGTAAACCCACAACAGGCTTCAGCCCTTTGACAAGGCCTCATGCGGGACAACACATAGCGGTCACACTCCCGCAATTTGGGCCGTATCGTTCGTTTCCTGGGCCTCACAGTTCGCGGAGAACTGCATCGATCGCCTTCACTGGGACTTGTTGTGTTGGCTCCGTTGCGCCTCGCCGTTCATTCAGCGGGCCTATCGGAGCGTACACACGGACCCTACCACAGATCTGTAAACATTCGTTTTCTCATTGGACTTCAGCGCAGGTAAACGCTCGCTCGGCCAGGCTACAAGCCGCGCATGTCTTCCGTAGCCGGTGCCACGATTAGTTATGACAGACCGGCTGATGGGGCTGCGATTTCGTTGCTTATTTTGGTGACTTGTGCTTTAAAAAGAGATTTAATGCTAAGGCGTTAGCAGAGCAGCTAGCGGTGGATACAAGCTGCCATCTGGGCTTGCTAACGTGAGCACGTCCACTAAATCTTCGACGTGGTCTGGTTTCACCCATTGGCGATGAAAGCCAGTAAGAGCGTTTGTTGTGAATGTTTAAAGTTTGTCTGCTTCTATATTATTTACTTTCATGCGCGCCCGAATCCGTGTTTTGCTTCGAAATGTGTCAAGCTAGCGCTTCGTATAGCTAGCTGCTAATGTTTAGCATTGTGCGCTTAGTGCCTTTCTAATTGCCTTTGTAACCTCGCAGTCCCTCATAAAATGTGTGTGAACGGATTGAGAAATAATATACGTGTCCACGATGCCTTTGCAAGTGTTACATTCAACTTATAACGAACCTCCCCGTTTCGCAGCAGGTTTTGTTTGTAGGAAAAGTTTGATTTGTTTGTGTTTCCTTACAAGCTGCTGAGTGGTTGAAGTCTTCGTAACGTTTGTTGTTTTCAAGTGAATACAGTAGTTAGTTTTTGTGCATATTTTTCTTGAGCGGGTATCTTTTAGTCATTGGTGTCATACAAGTAGTGTTGAGCCTCGGCATATCATGCATGTTCACTGTGTGTGTGTTTGGACAGTGCAGCTTGTTGGACAGGAATGAACAAATTCCCAATGGAGGAAGTGGAATCCTGCTGATGTGATTGGGACTGCCTGTCATTAACCACTAACAGGGGAGAAGAGGAGCTAATGGAGCTCTCACCAACTAATGGACGCATAACATCGATTATTTATTTATTTATCAACTCCATTTGTGTTAGGGGTTTTTCCCCTCCCTCTTGTTGTTGCGCTCAGTCCATTGCACATTACGATTTGCTTGCATGATAAATGGCTTCTGTTGACAATGAAATGAAGGCATAGTTTTGTGGTTGAAGTTGTGAAACTTGTTTTATTTCCTGACAAAACAATAATCTTGTGTTATCACAGTCAAAATATTTTTTGGGAATATTCATGCATACTAGTGTTTGTCACATTGTCTAGTAGGAATACAGTACAGGTATACTATGGAAATGTGAATTAAACATTTTAAAAATGAAAATACTTTATACTTTTGTTGTTGTTCATGAACAAGCACTACCCCTTTATATGTGCTTGAAAATCTGTCACACAAAGACAAGGGGGCATACCTTTATTATGTTGAGACAAGACATCATAAGGCGGGGCTTCACCATGGTAACGGCTGGGGTCGTGACCTGGTGGCTGCTACTGTGGGTAGCCTGAAGAGAGCTGGTCAATTAGACAAGTATTAGGGGCAAGGGACTTTGTGTTTAGCGATGTCTGTTAGTACTTGTGGACTGTATTATATTGATAAGTGTGTAACAGAAGCACAGTGCATACAATGGCGTGTACCCCCTAACACTCGATGTCGATTAGCATAATTGAAATTATTTTTCAAAAAATGTTCGGTATTTTAAATTTTATTGAACTACTTTTCCCTCATTTCCATCCGTTTTCCATGGAAAGCGAATATGGAATGTTTATCTGTGTGTGTGTGTGTGTGTGTGTGTGTGTGTAAAAACACATGCACAAAAAAATTCTCAGTGTCATATTTTCGCTATTCGCGGGCCAGCCTCGTTCCAAACCCCGGGGAATAGCGGTGCCCCGCTGCACAGGAACTTTTTTGTCAGTCATTTAATTTTTTTGTCATAATATAGGACTTAATAGCCCCAGGTGGTTGTGTCTTCCAGAAGTGTTCTATGCATAATTTTTACGCTATACTATATGTTTAATTTATTATTTTCAGTTTATTATCAACGCTGTAAATTAACTGCAGTTCCTCAAAGATAAGAAACAAATACTACCTTTTGTTTTAATTTTTTTCTCCCCTCTGGTTTTTCTTCCAGGCTGTTCCTCAAAGTCGTTCAAGCTGTACTCCCCCAAGGAGCCCCCCAACGGTAGCACTTTCCCCCCCTTCCATCCCGGCACCATGCTGGACAGAGACGTGGGGTGAGTTTTGTGACTGTGAATTAAATCTGGCAGATTAATTAAAATTTAAATCATGCTTTGGGCTTTTCTCGATCTTTAAAATGTTACAATCGCAGAACGGCGTGGTGCGTTTACAAGTTGCCGACGTTGTGAAAGTACCCTGACTGCACCATGTTGCTTGCGTAGCAAGCGTGTAGTGTAGTGTGTGTGTGGGTGTGTGAGATTCTGCCGTTCCTGAGCATTCTTTAAGTTGTTTAATGGCACCCTTTAACATTGCTTGTGCGATTGCTTAAGTTAAGGGAGGACTCCATTGATATGGTAACGGAAAAAGTGATATTCTTTCAACTAATGCACAAACACTGCGGAAATATCCATTCTTCCCAATCCGTGAAATACGAGCTGTATTAATAGAGTTCGTTGACAACTTCTCTTCTCATTCTGAGTGTTTACTCCATCCATGCACGGTACCACTCTGCCCTTAAGGGGGCAACATGCACATGAACAGCTGACATTTGTTTTTGTTTTTCCAATGGATATTAATTTAGTATATTCTCATTTTACGTTCTTATTTTGTCTTTCTCCTTTCAAATTATGTTTCAATTTGAGTTTTCAAAGATTCAAGGACCTTTACTTTCCTCGAAATTCAAAGATACAAGCATCCAAGCACTTTTTTTGTCCTTCCAACACACATTTCCACCTGACATGGCACAAAATAGAATCCCAGAGGTCCTAGGTTAGCCCAGTAAGTCTCAGATCTTGTGAAAGTAATGTACGATGAAATAAATATGATAAAAGATGTAAGGGTAATTTTTATTCAAGGCTTTAATGTGTGCAAAGATGCCAAGGCATTAAAGCTGTGGATGTAGCAGAATGAACATGCAAGAGTCTTGAATTTCATAAAATTGACTTCCAAGGTCATTTTGTACTTGACAAAAAAAGACAATGTTCAACGTGCAAGGATGAATGGGCATGAGGCCATGATGACAGTTTTGAGTAGTTGAGTTTGATTAGGAGAATAAATAACGTAAGTTTTAAAAACATGCTGATGACTCTGGGAGCTCCCTGCACTTTTTGTTAGATCTATTGTCTAAAATTAAAAAAACAAAAAAAAAAACCCTCCTGAAACTCTTGGAGGTTTTTTTTTGCACAAAATCAGCGAGTACATGAACAAAAGCCACAAATGGCATTTATGCTAGTACAATGTTAACATCAAGCACTATATATATATATATATATATATATATATATATATGTATGTATATACACAAAAATGTATTTTTATGTTTTGTATAGTGCAATATATACATTTTATTTCCTAGTGATGCAAATGGCCCCAGTTTTTGGAAAGGCCCGGAAGCATTAATATAGAATGAGGCATTCCTCGATTTGAGTGCATTTGATTTATCTAATGTTTAACAATACATTTACATGGATATTTATTGCCGTGTGCGGGCCAAAATGACAAATCGAGGCAGTTATATAGTTGTTTGGTACGTGCCTGATTTCTCTCATCTACAAAAGTATTGATTTATAACCTGGGCAAACAAACTTGCTTGTCAACAAGTAATTTACACTCATTTAACATCGATATGAAGTTACGTCGTTTGGACATGTCACATTTGCTAACCGCCTGGTTGCCTCTCTTCAGTGAGGCAGCTTTATAGCAGGCAGGGCTTACTTAGGATATTTTAGAAGCATATTTTGGCTTACCCTGAGTGTCTTCACATTTTTTGTGTCGTCGTTGCTGCAATTTACGACTGCTGCATTGGGTAGAGAGACGACGTGCCTGTGCGTGCCACTGTGACCGATATCGCGACCCCCAAACCTCGGTTTTTGAATGTCTCTGTTCTCGACCAAATCGGTTTTCGACCAAAAATTTCAAGTTTTTTTTATGCCTCGGATGACGACCGAATTTCGGTTCTTGAACAAACTGGGCACACGTGAATGCGTCACTTGACTCCTCTCGTCTTCCTTACACGAGGAAGTGACGCTTCCTCGGGTAGACAAGGAAGTGACGCTTCCTCGTTTAGCGTTCCATGATGAACAGACATGTTCAATAAGGATTTTTTTTTTTTAATAAAAGAGCGTGGTTTCAGTTTTCGAACAAATCGGTTTTTGAACAGCCTTCTGGAACGGATTATGGTCGAAAAACGAGGTATGACTATATATATATACATCGCTGCTTTTTTCAATTAAAAATATATTGTATGCTTGTATTTATTTTATAAAATGATATCATTTGCACGACGAAGTGGAGATTGACGCAAGAGACACCCGTACTACTTCACTATACCTCACCCTACTACAGTATTAGTATTTTTATTTATTTATTTTTTTGCGAATAGCATTCTTTGCAATTCGAAAATTGCATTCTACTACATTGTGATGTCGATTTGAATACTTTAAAATGTTCAAATCTCAATGTCCATATATTTTAACACGCAGTATTGAAGCATTTGTGTTAGTTTTGCCAACGGACAGCCTTGGAGAATGATGTTATTCTGGTGAAGTGAACTATTTGAGAATGAGGAAATTCCTGCAGCCGACCTGTTATCGGTTCTCTGCAAGAAAGATTTCACGGGGGTTGGTTATTCAGGTTTCAGCAGAGTGCAAGTTTTGCATTTGGGCCAAAGTTGAATTTGCCTTGAAAAATCACCATAATAGTCATTGGGGCTTCTTTTTTCATTGCCATAAAAATGATGCCAAAGTTGCTCCTTGTTTCCTCTCTTTTTTTCTGTTTAAGATCAATTAATTGTATGCGTAATTATATTTAATAGATTATGGTAATGTCTTGCTGTGTGCTACTAAGGGAAGTGTTGTCCAGAATATGGTTCTTGTGGGCTCTATTAGGTAAGAATAAATCTGATGTTGGGTGGAGTGGAGAAGTGTTAGATTTATAGTCTCATCCTATTTGTCTGACAGTTTCTGTGATCTTTGTTGGTTGCACTATATGTGATTAAAAGGATCTCTCTCTCTCTCTTGCTTCTCCAGTCCAACCCCAATGTATCCTCCGACATACCTGGAGCCAGGCATAGGGTAAGACAACTTGAAATCAGTTAATGTTGTGGTCTCCTATCGTATCCAATTGAGCAGTAATGTCTGATCCGGCCAATTGAGCTTCTTAAACAACTCTGATAGTGCTGCACCTCAGAATTTTCCTTCTCTTTTATTACCACACGCCAACTGTTGTACTTTTTTGTTATCACCTCCTGTCGTTTTATTGTGTAGGAGGCACACACCATATGGCAACCAGACAGACTACAGAATATTTGAACTAAACAAACGGCTACAGAACTGGACAGAGGTTTGTAAATTCTCGCTTTTGCATAACACTAGCGCTGTGTGTGGGTAATGGAATATCTGTCCTTTTTCCAAACTGTAGGAGTGTGATAACCTATGGTGGGATGCATTTACTACAGAGTTTTTTGAAGATGATGCCATGTTGACCATTACTTTCTGTCTGGAAGATGGGCCCAAGCGTTACAGTAAGGACAAATGTCAAATGAACATACCATCCTGCTGATGTGCTGCCTATTTAGTACGGGTGTGCATTTCTATGCCAAAGATGATCTGATACGGTTTTGGATGTGTGAAGTGCGAAACGATTCAAGGAGAGTACAGTTTGAATGTGGAACGATTTGATTCCACTCCGTGGGATTACAATTTGATTCAATATATTACAGCTCAGTTCGAGAGGGTATAAGGCACAGCCTTTTTTTGTTGTTACATTTGAATCAAATGTGCCATTTGCTTATAAGATACATCTTGCTCATAAAATAGTTTTACGTATCTCGATTAATACAAAAGTGGAACGATTAGATTCAGTTCGATTTGATGTGCTTACATCTTTCAAATCAAAAAACTATTTTCTGGTTTAAACCATCTTTGTTACACCCGTATTTAGCCTGTTATCCACTGTTAAACTAAATTATCCATTTTGTTGTGTGACCCATTTGTTTCCTTTCCACCCATCAAGCAATTGGTCGGACGTTGATTCCAAGATATTTTCGGAGTATATTTGAAGGTGGTGCCACTGAGCTCTACTATGTCCTGAAACACCCCAAGGAATCATTTCACAACAACTTTGTCTCACTTGACTGTGATCAGTGCACCATGGTCTCTCAGAATGGAAAGCCAATGTTCACACAGGTGAGTGTCCCCCTCTTCTATTTTCTTTTATTCCCGTATCCGTCTAGAACATAGCTGTATTCCAAAATGGTTGATTTAACTTACAGATACTAAACACAAGGTAAAAATCGTTTCTTTCTTCTTCACTCTGCGAGCATTTTTTCACCACATCCCTGTAATAGTGACAGCCAAATATAATTAATTTTCATATTATGAGTTTAAATTCAGAGGGAAGGTGTATGCCGAAGTACCGTATTTTTTCGGACCATAAAATGCAGGTGTCTCAAAAATTGACAGTAGGCCTTATTTAGTGGGACGTCTTTAATTCAAATGACTTCCTGTTGCAATCGCCTTCTCATTCTCATCCATCCATATCTAATCACTAGCAGGTGTTAATGTTTTCATCATACCAGAACCAGAACTACGCCCACCCTCCAATGTAGTTGTTTGGCGAACAGAAGCAGGCAAGATGTGGCACCATCCGATATTTCGTGTTCGGTCTCAACCTGACATGATAACGCTAAATATGTCAAATAAACATGCAGTATAATCACAATAAACTATATTTAACATACGATGCTTCACAAAGATAATGTGCTTTATAACCCGGTGAGTTGTTACGTATGAAAAAAATTCACCTAATAAATAATACGCTACACTTACTCGTGGGTAAAACATGGTAATATTATGAAGGGATATATTTAGGATTATATATGGTCACAACATCCTTCTAAGCCAGCGCTATTCAATTATTTTCTGTTAAGCCCCCAGAGGAAGAATACATCCCCCCAAGAAACAAGAAAACATTTCACACACCCAACAATTCTCTGCCACCATTAGAAATTGGATAACTTGTCATTAACATTGTTGTAAATTCAAGAAAAAAGAAATACAAGGAATAACTTTATCAACATTGTTTTAGTCTACAGAAAACAAATGGAAGGGCATCAAATCGCCCCAAATTTAAATAAATAAATAAATAAAGGAGGGGCCTACTCTTCAGGCAACCATATCCATGATATAACTTATAACATAATGAGTAGAACACCCGCATACGAACTCAATGAGGAGATTGTTTTTTTTGTTGATGCAATGCTGCATACATCCTAACACAGACTTAAATTGACAGGCACTTTGTAACATGTGAACATTACGATTTAGGACTCTGAAAATGAAGAAAAACTTTCAATCCTAAAAAATTATCCATCCTCAACATGTTTGAATGGGTTGGGCTCTGCTTTGTGTGCCGGGATGCGAGAGGGGCCGCTGAGTTGATGGCATATATCCAATATGGCTTGGTAACAGGAAGAATTAAGTTACAGGCAATTATCAGGGCCACTGCCCAATCCCTGTTAATATAGTATTTGTCTACTTGAGGCATCATTGTAGTGCCAAGTCAAACAAGGTAAATGCTCTTTGTTAATCGCTAATCAATTTCAAGGATCAATTAACTAACAACATTAGTTGTGAACCCTTCTCCAATGACGCAGGATGAGATGCAGCAATCCGTGTAATGATCAAACTCTGAATATGCACATTCACAATCCTACTCACCTTCCCTTCTGTAGGTGTGTGTTGAGGGGCGCTTGTACTTGGAGTTCATGTTTGACGACATGATGAGGATAAAAACGTGGCACTTTAGCATCCGACAACATCGTGAACTCATCCCTCGCAGTATACTGGCCATGCATGTGAGTGGATGGCAGCCCTGAATCTTTTATATCATGTTATTGTCTATGTGTGTCAAGTTATTTACTCTGTCCTGTTGAATACCGTCTCAGGCCCAGGACCCACAGATGCTTGACCAGCTGTCCAAAAATATTACAAGATGTGGCCTGTCAAACTCTACTCTAAACTACCTCCGAGTAAGTAGTACACAAAACATCATGACCCTCCACTTGGTCTTACCCAATTTTTACTTCAATAATATATTTTTTTAATTTGACCATACACCTGAAGACTGTCTTGCAGGTGCGTAGAGATAAAAGGGTGATCTTCAGGCGTATTATTAGAGACTAAGACACGCGTCTTAGTCTCTAATAATATGTGTACAAGTCAGACTGGGTTTGCAAGTTTATGTGCCTTCTGAACAATGTTCACTGCGTGAGTCACAGTCTTGAGTTGGTGAATGTGCCTTATTTTCGTCACCATACAGCGCACCGCATAAAGAGGTCAGTTACGCTTGCAATTTCTGTATTTTACACATATCCAAATTCTTACTTTAAACAAAAGGAAAAGCAGAATACTTGTGGATGAAAAAGCAGCAGATTCCTCTAGGAGAGAAATAGTTGGTGTGGCTTTTTATTTTCACCCTGGTTTCAGTCAGGTAATGAATTAGTGCATCCCTCAATTGCATCAAACTATACATCTATTGAAGACATGCACAATATTTCTTCATGATGTTGAACCTTGAATTAATGATGATTTTTATCAATAAACAATGGAGAATTCATTGACAGTGCACCAGCTGTGTGATGTACCTGTACTATGTCAAACACAGGCTCAGCAGAAGCAGACATGCAGCCAAATAAAGAAAAGTAAATAAATAGTGTTGAATACCTTTTGGTCCCACAGACCGCAATGACTTTGTCCCATATTGTTTGCTGAAAACTCAATTTTGTGTGGGTTTATAAAATGAAGACTACACGAAGTCATTAAAATTATGCATGTGTATTTCTTTGAGGGCTATGTATTGCGGTAAGCTTGGTTTGTACCAAGAAGTCAACTAAAATGTAACTTGTAACTCATCCATAAGGAAATAGAGGGTCACTTTACAAGACCTGCTGCTAATAAAATTTATTGGAATCAATTGTTGCGCATTTCCTCATTCTGACATCTTTCTATGCATGACTGCATGTGTTGTCAACTTTGTGTGATGTGCACCAAAATTATGTAGAACAAAGTGTAAATTGAATTTCCCCTAGAGAGATCATAATGAGAATAATTTATGACTATACAGTGATCCCTCGCTATTTCGCGGCTGCAGTGCATTGCGGATTTTTTCAAACATTAAAAAAAAAAAGGTTTTTTTTTTTAATATACATGGAGTACAGTACTGTATATGTTGCTCTATGTGACTCGGTGTTGTTTTGCAGCTTCTCGCGGACTTTTTGCGGACTTTAAAAAAAAAAAATTTTTTTTACCTGTATATGTTAATTGGTCGGTCGCTACTTCGTGGATTTTCGTTTGTCGCGGGTAGTTTTGGTCCTCATTAACCGCGATAAACGAGGGATTACTGGACATAGTGGATATACTGTATATTTTTAAAGCTATAGCTTTCATACTACTTACTCTCTTGTAAGCAAAGCCGAACTCCATTGATGATATTTTAATTTTGTTGTATACATTAATTTGAAAATTATTGTACTAAAAAAATTATATATGCTGAATTATAGTGTAATTTATTGTTACTCATATTTAACATCTTGAAAAGTTGGCATTAAAAATAGGAAGGGGTTTTTATTTATTTATTTTTAATTTATTTTAATACCAGCTTTCTGCCCGTGTGCTCTCTGCTCTAGTTGTGTGTGATCCTGGAGCCCATGCAGGAACTAATGTCCAGACACAAGACGTACAGCCTCAGCCCCAGAGACTGCCTCAAGACCTGCCTCTTCCAGAAATGGCAGCGAATGGTGGCACCTCCGGGTATGTGAACACACATATTCCAACATCTGACAATGTAGTAAAAACACACAAACATTTCCATCCATGTAACTTCCTGTTTCCCGTGTGTAGCTGAGCCATCCAGACAGGCCCCAAACAAACGACGGAAGCGTAAGATGTCAGGTGGCAGCACCATCAGCGGAGGAGGAGGAACTAACAATAACAACAATAACAAGAAGAAGAGTCCTGGCAGTGGTTTCCCTCTGTCCAGCCAGGTTCCAGTAAGTACATCACTGGAATCGTCTTTCTATGCTATCAAAACTCGACAGAAAGCTCTGTTGATTCATTGCTTGCATCAGGACATGGACCTTTATAGGCTCTTGTGTATAAATGGCATAGAATGTGGGCGCAGAATTCCGTTACACTTCAAGCAACAATTACAAGAACGTAAGAGGAGATGTTGGGCACAAAAGCATGTTTTTGAGCGCAGCTGAGTCACAGAGTGCTCGTCTGCCCACAAAGAAGCCGCTGCTATCCAGGCGTGGCGAATGCATGCTGAACGAAAGCATGGCTTAACTGTTAAAATAAATGACTAGTCAACTCAGTGCAAATCTTGTATTAACATTATATAATGCAAACTAACACCTACCTCAGTGTGGCTCCCACAAGGAAGAAAAGAATGATTGACTTGAAAGGGTTGAAGAAGAGTCGCTTGCGCTGTAAAGAATTAGCTTTGTACGGAAAGCTAACAAGCATGTCTTGCTTTCATCTCCTCGTCTCGACATTTACCGCATCTCCACAATTTGCTGACCTTGAGGTGAGTAGTAATGACAGGTTTCTACGCAAGCATCTAGCCTGCAACAGTCATGTTGTCTGACTTTTGACAACACAACCCATGGCCATGGTTTCAGCACATCAAGGCTCACCTTCAGCTGAGAGGAATAATGCAGGATGTTACAAAATACTTCCATTTTGGATTGCCTTAATTAATGACAGCCAGAGTGGGGGTGCTGCTGGAGGCTCCACTGGCTGTTGGCAAGCACGATGGGCTCAAGTCATTCCTTTTGGGACGCTTTGAACTGTCCAAACTGGAGAAGGCAGACACCCTGCTGTCCCTCAACACCTTGTGCGACGGCGAACCATCCGAATTTATGGGAAAGATGCTGGCTGTGTTGATCCCTCATATTTCACCTGGGGCTTGATTACGCTGTCAAAGCCGCTGAACTGGCTACCGACTCTGACACACAAGCATACCATATAGCTGCCACCGAATTGCGTCTCTCGGACATCACATTTGATTACGCTAATGCCACACTCTTCTGTGATGTCTCCAGCGGCCAGCCGCACCCAATAGTGCCTGCTGCCTGCAGCGCTATTTGACACCATCCACGGCCTTTCCCATCCAGGTGTGAAAGGCCTCCAGTACGTTGGCTTGGCCTCATGAGAGATGTCAGGATGTGGGCTGGTATTTGTATGGCATGCCAGCGCACCAAGTTACAACACTACACCAGAGCCCCGGTGGCACGCTTTCTAGTACCAGAGAGTTGTTTTGACCAAGTGAACATGGACTCACTTCCTCTCCATGGTGGGCAGGACCACCAAGTGGCCAGAAGTTGTTGCCTTGTTATCGACTACCTCAACAGAAGTGGCACGGGCATTCATAACATCCTGGGTTGCCCGCTTCAGCACACCAGCTGACCTCACTTCATGACAGGGGCCAACCACTTACATTAGAGCTCCGCACAGCAGTCGCTGAGCACTGGGGGTTTAAGATTCACAGCACTACAGCATACCACATTACATTTTCGGCCATATTGCCCAGCCCTGGTTAAGCAAAATCCATTTGGCCAAAACAATAAACAACACGAAAACAACTGAATATGCAAGTCCATGGGTGCCGAAACATGATTATGTAGGGATTGATCGTCCAATGATTTACAAAGAATGTTGACTACTAGTGCCGTATTTAGACTGTATTCAACATTTTATTTTGGCTGTGCAGGATGTGATGGTGGTGGGAGAGCCTACACTGATGGGAGGGGAGTTTGGTGACGAGGACGAGCGTTTGATTACGCGGCTGGAGAACACCCAATTTGACGCAGCCAACGGCATCGACGACGAGGACAGCTTCAACAACTCCCCGGCTCTGGGATCCAACTCGCCATGGAACAACAAGGCGCCCTCTAGCCAGGAGAGCAAGAGCGACAACCCCACCTCGCAGGCATCGCAATAGAGTTTGGGCTCCTCCTTCACAACACAATTCCCTCGCGCCCTCCTCTGAGCCTTCCCAAAGACAATAGTCACGAGAGCAACAGGTTTCTTAGCAGACCCCCGACATGCGTTTTGAGCTCGGACTCTTCCAACACGCGGTGCCTGGCGGAGCTCAGTTACACCTCCTGCCAGAGCTTCATCATGACGGTGTGACTTTCCGAAATCAAGGCCTCAACCCCCTTCTGGTCCTTTTCCGCATATCATACTCAAAATGTCCTGTCTGTTCTTGCTAATTTCAACTTTGGACAGTGACATGATAGTTCTGATGAAGAAGACGTGGTGATTGAACCCAGGAGAAAACTAAACCACACTTAACTCAAGAATGCTACAAAGCAGTGGGGCATGGCCATGGTGGCAAGATGCTTAGAGACAACTTGTCCACCAGCCTCTAAACGACTCAATTCTGGACAGCTCTGATGCAGCAAGGCACTAGAAAACTTTGTTGATTAAGTATTGGTGAGTGGGCAAGTGAGAGAGAGAGCGAGACGGACACACACAGTGAAGTGTGTGTGTGAGAAGTGTCTTTGACAAACTGAGCAGGCCAGAATTTAGAGACGTCTTGCGAAATTGTTGAAATTGTCACACTTTTAGCGTGAGATGCAACAATT